TCTCCTTCTCCTCCCCGTCCTTCCACATTGGCACTTCTGCTTTATTCTCAAATCGTCTGCTCCTCTGCGTCTCCCTCTCCTCTGAACCCCTCCTGTGTCTTCCCTGCTCCTCAGCCCGTGTCCCCTTGCCCCAGCTCACAGCTCGTTTCTCCCTGCTCTTTCCTCTCTCTCTCCCTCCTCTCGTTGCTTGCCGTCTCCTCCCTCGTGCTTCTCCACCACTCCCTCTTCCTCTCCTTTCAGCGGCAGATCGGTCAACGCGCTCAAAATTCCTCCAAGAAAATGTCTCGGACGAACAAACCTGGTGAGGACATCACGCTAATTGAAGCCGCTGACTGACTTTTGTTCCTCCCCCTCATCCCTTCCCCATCCTGATCTCCTCCTCCTCCTCCTCCTCCTCCCCACTTTTTCCTTTCCTTCCCTCTCCCTCTCCCCTGCTCTCTTCTCCTCCTTCTCATTGCTCCCTGCTCTGCACTGCACTACCTTCTTCCCTCCTCTTCCTTCCGTCAATTTTTTGGTCCTTCAGCGAGCCTCCGCGAAAATGCTGCTTCTCCTCTCCTCAGCCGTTGGCCGCAGAATGACTCGCCGACCCATACGTCCCTTGCGCTTTCCATCATGGTAGGAGAAGAAGAAGGAGAAGGAGAAGGAGAAGGAGAAGGAGAAGGAGAATGAGGAGGAGGAGGAGGAGGAGGAGGAGGAGGAGGAGGAGGAGGAGAGAGGGATAGAAGGAAAATGGAGATGTAGGCAGGAAAGGAGATCGCGGAGATTGAGGAAAGTTTGTATGGAGGAAGAGGCAGCAGGGGAAAGGTGGCGGGCTGGGAATGAGGATACCATGGCAGGCAGAGTAGAGAAAGAGGAGGAGCTAACAGATTTATCTGCAGGGCTCTCGACCATCGTCGCGTAGCGAGAACCTGCTATGAGCTCCTTCAGCTCCCCTCCTCAGCTCCCCTCCCCCTCTTGCCACGTCGTATCTCTTCTCCTTCCTTCACTCCCTCCCTCTTCCCTCCTCTCTCCCTCCCCCTCGATACCCTTTCTCCTCTTCATCTCTGTCCCCTTGCTTCTCTGTCCTTACCTCTCCGTCCACTCTCGATCTTCATCCTCTCTCCTCTATGTCGCCGTCTCCTCCCTCTCCTCTCCTCTCCCTCCCCCCTGTTTTCCAACCCCGAGGATGTAAATTGGCGAAATGGATTATCATGTCAAGGCTATAAATATTCGAACTACTACAGTCTGTTTGCAATCATTTCATTTGTTCAACTCCCCTGCCCCTCCTCTCCTCTCCCCTCCCCTCCTCTCCTCTCCTCTCCTCTCCTCTCCTCTCCTCTCCTCTCTTCCTCTTCCCTCAGTGACTCAACGAAGAAGAGAAGCTTCCTCCGCATCACAAGCGAAAGTCCCAGCTCCTCCTTCAGGGCAGCCTCATCCTTCGCCTGCTAATCATTAGCCCAAGACCCTCCCACCTCTTCTCTCCTCCTCTTCCTCCTTCTCCTTCTCCTGTTCTTCTCTTCTTGGTTTTGTCTCCTCCCCTTCGTTGTTCCTCTCCGCATACTTCTTGCATCTTTCACCCTCCCCTCCCCCCTCCTCTGTTACCGTCAGTGTCATCGCCACCATTCCGTCGATTTTCGCTCTCCTCGCAGCAGGTACGCATTCCTCCAGCCCTGCACAGGCAGAGTAAGAGTCAAAGTTGAGAGAGATACAGGATGTGGGGAATGTTGTTGTTGTTGTTGTTGTTGTTGTTGATGATGATGGTGGTGGTGGTGGTGGTGGTGGTGGTGATGGTGGTAGTGATGGTGGTGATGATGATGACGACGACGACGACGATGATAAGTGGGAAAGGTGGGAGCACGAAGGGACCTGCATCGCGCAGGGCGCAGCAGAACTCCTCCACGTTCCAGTCTCTCGGGTTTTCTCCTCTTGTCATGGTGATTCCAAAGTTTTCTTCCCACGACATGAGGTCAAAGTTGTCACTGCTCTCCTCCTCTTCTCCAGCCATCACAGCCGCTGCCGCCTCCTCGCTGTTGACCCGCCCCCCCAACCCAACCGCAGCTTCCTTAGCACTTCCATCCTTCATCGCGAGGAAGACGGAGGAGGAGAGGAGGAGGGAGGCGATGAGAGCGGGAGAGGTGTTGCCCACCACGATGCCGGAGGCAAGCACATCCAGCAGGCAGGCTGCAGATGTCGCAAGCAGGACTAGCCTGGAGCGGAAGCTTGGAATTCCTGCCTGGAGGATGAGGAGGGCGGCGCTGAGCTGCGTCATCTCAGTGATGAAGGAGGGCGAGTCAGGCGCTCCTACATGCACATGATGTCAGTAGGAATGGCAGCTGAGTCCATGCTCTCACCTAGCATGACGCCGAGCACGGGGATAGATACCATGGAGGCAGCCAGGGTTGCAACAGACGAGACGCTTCCTACCTGCGGTAGACATGAGCATGCTGAGCTGTCGCTTCCTCCTCCTCCTATGAATTCTTACTGGTTTTCCGTCGCTCCATGTGAGCAGCGAGCTTCCTTCTATGCTCGGACGCCATAATGCTCCACCCCCCCCGTCCTGTGACTTCTTTTGCATGCTCAGCTTGTACAAGCTGATCGCCGCCTGCCGCCTGCCATGGACCGCGGCGCTGGTAGCATGAAGGCAGCTCAGGCAGCTCGGATGAGGAGCGAAACATAGAGAAGGAGAGATCGTTGACATGGCGAGGGGAAGGGGAGGGAACACGTTGGCACCAGCTCGTAGCCTCGACTGACAATAGCGGCAATGCAGCAGGGAGGGAAAGGAGGTGGAAGGGGAGGAGAGAAGGAGGCAGGGGGAGGAAGATGAGAGGCAGGAAGAGGAAGAACAGGAGGAAGAGAAGGGAGGGCGGGAGAGCGGGTTGGCAGGAGGGGAAGGGGAAGGGAGGATAGGCTGAAGGAAAGAAGGTTCTTGAGGGGAGGGGAACTTTGAAACTTTGAAACTTGAAAACTTGGGAAGAGCGTTTACTAGAAACTTTAAGTTTCAAACTTTAATCGCACGTGCCCGTCCTCGCCTCTGCTGCTGCTGCTGCTTCTCCTCCTCCTCCTCCTCCCCCTTCCAACTTCTCTGCTCCTGAAGCTCCTGCAGCCCCACCAGCCTCTCCTTGCTCTCCTGCCTTTCCAGCCCCTCCTGTTCCTCCAGCCCCCCTGGCCCCTACGGCCCCTTCAGCTCACTGTGCCTTTAGCTCTGACCCTTCCCAACATATCCCGCGTTATGATTCATTTTCCTCCAACTTCATGGCCACCTTCATGGCAAGCGCTGGGACCAGACGGCTGAACGGACTGGATAGCGTCTACAAGATGTGATTCTATCTACTCAGTGTCGATGACATCAAAACAAAATATCTGAAGTTTTGATCCGAGACAGAAGGTAAGAAGGAATGTTCCACCTTCCCCTCCCTCCCTCCCTCCCTCCCTCCCCTACCACATCATCAAAACATGCTGGAGATGACAATTCTTCTGTTTCCTGAAAGTCGCATCGCGTTATCGCACATGTTGAGCGACCGGACTAGAGTCTCTGAGGCATTTTCATCCCCATCCCCCTCCCCCCCTCCCTCGCCCTAGCAGTTCCTGACGTCTGTCACCAGGATACCGAATCTCTCGCCTTTCTCTCAATGCAGTACGTCGTCAGTGCAAGTACATGACCGCATCCTGGTAAGATCCGCAGAGACGTTTTGCATGCAGTCCAGAGCAACGTTGATGATGAAACAATCTCATTAGTTATCCCTGTCTGAAATGGTGTGTGGTAATACCGCTGCGCTCAGGCGCTGATGTGGATGACTTGGTTGAAACGTGCACGTGTTGTTGATGGTCGAGAGCTAGAGATGAATTCAACCTGACTGCTCATGCAGAGCTGCTGTTGAGCGAGCTAGGTCCCTTGCGGACTGGGACTCGAACTGCGATAAGCGAATGGTTATCACAGCCCTCGGTACATAGCAGTTGGATGTAGAAAGGGCAGACAGCAGGGTTTGTTGTTTGAAGGGCGAGTGCTTGTCAATGTCAATGAAGGGCGAGTGCTTGTCAAACTTTGACGTTCATTCCAACGAGTCAAGGAACTCATCAAGACTCTTGGACAACTTCTTGCCGCATAGTGGGATGGTTCGAAGTAGCTCCACCATCGGGTTTGGCTTGTCGTCATCCTCATCTTCCTCCTGCCAAACACGTCAGCACACGTTTCTCCGTCGCATCCTCCCCCCATCCTCCTCTTCACTCCATCTCCTCCCCCGCTGTTCCAGCCTCATCCTCCACATCTCCGTCTCACCGGCAGCGGCGTCTTCATTGGCTTCTCCTCCTCCTCGGGCTTCTTAGAGACAGGCTGTATCCTCCCGGCCGGTCGCTTGCCCCGGTAGTCCTTGGACTCGAAGCAAACTCGGTACCCCTCCTTGACCTCCTTGTCTGGCGGGTCGGTGAACTCAGGGATCATGCAGCGGTACGAGGTGCAGCTGTTGCAGTAGACTTTGCCGTTCCACAGGCAGTGGAACTGCTCGGGTGCCTTCTCCTTGAGGTCGAACCGGACGTCGCAGAAGCCGTCGAGGGGCTGATCCTCGTCCTCCTCTGGGGTGATGCCGTCCCTGTTCACTCTGCCATGGCACTGGCGCGTCAGCTCCTTGGGCTCCATCCAAACGCCTCCTCTGACGAGGGTCATGCAGTTCCTGCCCGTGCTCGCCTCCAGGGCAGCTCTGACTCTGATCGCCGTCCTCCCCGACTCGTCCGACTGCTTCTCACCCGGCTTCGGCTTTTGCACGGCCTTTGGGAGGCAGTTGAAGATCCAGGGGTCCGCGGCATGCAGCCGGCAGGGGTCGTCGAGGAGCTTCACGTTGTACATCCCCTTGGGCCCGTCCATCTCTTGGAACTTGCTCTCTAGGATCGCCTGCATCTCCTTCCACTTGTACCGGAAGTTTCCTCCCCATCGGAAGAAGTCATGCATCTCTACGTTGTTGGACTTGAGCATGCCCACGTCCCACGCGCAGTTGGCACCGACGGGCACGCGAGCGTTGATGGAATTGATGCCTCCGTGCTCCTTGTAGAGGTACTTGCCTGCGCAGTGAGTGAGGGAAGGGGAACAAGGCAACTGTCGCAGAGTGGAGTGTGACGAGGAGGGATAGGGAGGAAGGAGAGTCCACAAAGAAGGAGGGATCGGGCGAGGGAAGGCGATCCGCACAACAAGCAGCAGGTAGTCGTCGGCTGTCCCACGAGCAGGGCAACTCAAGCATCAAATACTTCTCCTCACCTTCAGGGTTCTTGGGAGGGATCCTATGGACTCCCTTGAAGCCCGTGATGGCGTTCTGGTCCGGGCACTCCCATCTCCCGAGCGGTTGGTCGAGATCGTGCAGCGGGTCCTTCAAGTTCTGAATCGGCATGGCGCCCAGGTGGGCCTTCCTCTTTGCGATCTTGGCCGGTTCATTCGCAAACACGACCTTGGTCTCATGGTGCGTCAGTTTCTGCCTTGCTGAGAAGCACTTGAGGCAGATCGGTTTGCCGAAGTGCGAGTCCTCAATCTCCTTTCTCAGCAGGCGGATCTTGTCCTCGTAGGCCAGCTGCCGATTGACCTCTTTTTCCCTCTCCTTCGCCATGGCCCTCTCCTTCTCCTTCTCCTTCTTCGGGTCAACCACGACCTCCTCTCCTTCCCCCTCCTCGTTTTCCTTCTTCTTGATCTGAGACTTGAACCTCGCTGCCTGTGCCGTGAGGGACCGAACAACGTTGTCAACCTTCTCAGCCACGTTGAGGTTCTTGAGCAGGCCGTCCAGCCAGTGCTCCTCCTCCCTCATGAGGATGTCAAGGATGTACTCGCGTCCAATCTCGTACCCATACTCCTCCAACCTCGCTTGGTACGACGTCACTTCCTGAGTGAACGCGTGCCCGCACTCGTAGCAGATGACTTTGGGCTTGCCGAAGTAGGGGACGTCGGAAAACTCCTCGTTAGTCTCCTTGCACACCTTCTGCTCGATCCACTCGACCGACTGAGGCCCATGCTCGGCCTTGGGGAAGATCTCCTTGTTAGGAGTGAGGTGAAGCATGTGCTGGACGGTACCGGTGACCATGTCCGTGACCAGCATCTCCAAGCAGAACGCTACTGCACCCCCGGTCTTCCAGCCTCCAGCAACGAACTCCTTGGCCTTGAGCTCTGGCGTTGGCTTCCAGATTTCCTCCGCAGGGGCGTCTTCATCCTTCTCCCCGCCTTCGGCTCCACCTGCAGCGCCAGCAGGGCCTTCGGGAAGGTTGTCGAATTCGTCTCTACCGAACTCAAAGATCTCGAGAGGAAGGAAGAAGCGCTGCAGTCCGGGTCAGGATGCCACGAGGGCAGGAGGAGAGTTGGCCTGACCTTGCCGAAGCATCTTTGCTTCGGGGTGAAGAGAGCCAAGCACTGAGAGCTCCACTCGAATTGCTTCTTGTTGATCTTCAGGTCGGGGCTGGGGAAGAACATGGGCTCGAAGCTGGCAACGACGCGTCAACAAGGCGTCCACGATCATGAAGTCAACGATCTCACGGGATCTTATCAGGATGGTTGACATCAGTATCTCCAGGGTTGAACTTCTTGATACCAAGACGGAATGATTGCTTCATGTAGTAACCCAGCTCGACCTGATCGTCGTCATCCATCACAACAGGGCAAAGATGTGAGGATGGAGCATACCTGATTCTTGGAAGAGTGCAGGAACAAGGAGATAAATTTCCCCGCTTTCTGCACTTTGGCCGGGTCTGCACCTTTCTGATAGCCGCTCGGATAAAGTGTGAAGTACCTGCGGGCGACGCGAGTCAACAACCACGGCACCTCAGGTTTGACTCACCATTCTCCATCACTTTTGAATTCTGAAGACGTCAACTTCTTGTCTGGCCCGATCGACTCAGACAGTCGTTTCAAATCGTACACCACCCATATCGTCCTCTCGTATCCCAAGGGGGTGAGATGCCCCTCCTTCTTGGGCTTGTTCGTTCTGATATTGCTCACCGCTAAGATTGTGATTTCAATGTCGATATAACTACAACACAATCAGGTCAGACAGGAGAGGTCTCCTTGATTCATGTTCGACTCACCCATCCTGCACTTTCGTCCTTGCTTCCTCGGGAACCGATCCATCCTTCTCAGGCTTGTAGAACCCCAACATGAGCCCGGACTTCCAACTATACAACTGACCCATATCGAGCAGCTTCTCCCAACCCCAAGAGTGATCTATGTTAGTGTACATCTGAGAGAGCTCCTGCATGATGGGCTCTGCACTGGGCGGCTTGTCAGCTGCCGCCTCCCCACCGCCTTCTCCTCCGCCAGACTTAGACCCCGAGGCTCCAGACCTCTTGCTCGTGCTCTTCGCTTGGGATCCCTTCCCCGACTTGTTCGACTTCTTTGAAGTTGGCTTCACGGTAGAGACCTCCGTCTTGGCGCTTCCGGCATCGTCTTCATCATCGTCGTCCTCAGCAACTTCCGGCTTCGGCTTGGGTTTGTTCTCCTTGGCTGGAGCTATGGTCAACACAGGCAGACACGAGAGGACAGCACGCACCGGAGCCCAGAGGAGGAGGTTTCGGTCTTATAACAACATTCACAGTAGCAAAGGCAGAGACGGTCACTTTGGTGGGCTCCTGCTTGTCGACGCCTTTGTTCTCGCAATCGAAGTTCGTAACGTAGAGAGAAGCATAGTCAGGGTCAGTGAACCCCTTAGGGAAGTAGTTCGCCTTCCAGTTGCTCTTCTCTCCCACACGTACGATAGGAGAAGTGACACACTGACCGAAACTAGGAGGAAAGTTAGACAGCTCGTCATACACATTCTTCCCTTCCTAGAATGTAAACTGCTTCTAATGCCTCTGTTTGATCCACCGTGCTCCTGGTTTCCCAAATCTCTGTTCTCCCTCCTCCTTCTAGTTGTTTGAGTGTAAGTTTCATCCACTACAATTGCTGTCCTCCTCTCCTCTTCTCCTTCGTCTCCTGCTCCTGCTCTTGCTCCTGCTCCTGCTCCTGCTCTTCCTGCTCCTGCTCCTGCTCCTGCTCCTGCTCCAGCTCCAGCTCCTCCTCTCATCATACCTGACTGTATTCACTCGTCCCACTCGCCACACGAACGTCGTCTTCTCCCCCTCCGACGTGCATGAGATGATCGTGCTGCTGAAGCCCGGCATTCTCAAGAGACACCAAAGTCCACCACCCCTACCCCATGGAAATACCCCACCCATCCTTGAAACCCACCCACCCCCACCTTCGACTCATACTGGATCCATCCTACGGCAGGTCGTGATGATGATCTCCTTACTACCCCTACCCCCAGTTATCCAGACACTGTCAGGTTGCTACTAAGATGCCCCCCATCGTCCTCTGTCCTGAACCCCTGCTTCTCTTTCTCACCCTACCCCCTATCCTTGTCTACCCACCCCTCTGGTTTGCCTTCCAGAATTCATTTCTATCTGGTGTAGCGAGATGGGGTAGGTGGTCGCTGATGATAGAAGGAGAAACAAGGGGTACTCATAGGGTCGTGGAGGTGGGTGGGTACTTTGACTTTTTTTTTCTGGATACGCATTTTCAGTGAAGGGAATTTTAACGCGGGACTTTTTGGGTCCCTGGGGAGAGAACGGGAAGAGCGAGTGCGGGGAGAGAGGGTAGAGGGGAGAGTACGAGGGTAAGACAGGGGGAGAGGGAGAGAGGAGAACAGGAGGAGAGGAGGAGAGGTGCTGAAGAGCTTCGAGTGGCTCAGATTAGGACCTGAAGGCAAGGGACAGCACTGATATTCCAAGAACGTAGAGATGACGAACGAACTAAGATCTCTTCATCTCTGACGGAGGGAATCATGACTTTCTCACATGCTCTTATGCTCTACTGCCTCCTGGCTTTGTTGCAACCAGTTGAGGTTCTGAGCTCGGACGCATGCTTGCAGGAGAGATTGAGCGTGCAGTGCCGAGCAAACTCTACGTTTGCAAGCACTAGCTTCCAAACCTTGAGGTGTGCTCCTAAGGTTTGCAGGAACATTCCCTTACTGGCGAATGGAACTGTGTCTCCATCTACCGGAGTGATTCCGATTGGAAGCAGCCTTCTGTTACTTTGTAACAAAGGATTTCGTCTTACCGGGCCTGGATCGCCCGTGCCCAAATGCTTGTCCAGCTGCTCGTTCGAGCTGGGGATGACGTGCGAGATGGTTCGATGTCCTCCTTTCGTTGACGCGTTCGGGGACAGCGCGCTCATGAACCGATCTCTGCTCTATGGCGAGTCCATGACCGTCACCTGCAAACCGGGGTACAGGAGCTCTGCCTCCCTACCGACAGGCGGCTTTCCTTGCTCCACGTCATACACCAAGCTCTGCTCGGAGACGGGGCAGCTTGAGGATGCGAGCACGCACTGTGTCCCTGTGACTTGCCCGCGATACGACGCTGGCAGCGACTCGTTGAAATGTCTCACCAGCGACTGCGGACCAGCTGAAGGAACCATCATCGCCGCGGTCACCGACCCTGCTCCTGCCACCTTCACCAGCACCAAGGAAATCGTATGCAATGCAGGATACGACAGAGTTGATGCCGGCAAGTCGCCGAGATGCAACGAAACCTGTCAGTACAGCAACAACTCTCAAGCGTGCAGACCGCTGTCATGCCCGCTGCCTGACCTGACAGGGTTTCGGATGGAGTTCGAGCAAGGCGTGACAGGGTCGATTCCTTACTTGTCGACCGTGTCGCTATCCTGCTTTCAAGGGTTTGTGTTCCAGTCATCCTCCGGCCTCAGCTGCGTCAGGAGCAGGACCCTCACTTGCTCGCTGGTGGACGGGAGCAGAACGGAGCTGACGCCTGCTATCAGTACCTTGTCTTGCTCCCCCTTGACCTGCCCCCCTCTCAACCTCAGCCATGCCCAGTACAGCAAGTTGCAGGATCCCATGTACGGGCAGACGGTCGATGTGGTCTGTGACAGAGGATACGCGCTACCCTCATCTGGTTTGACCTGCGACAAAGTCTCCTCCTTCACAGCACAGTGTTTTGATTGCTCCTTTCGGCTCAAGGGTGACGGCAGTCCAGTCAGCTGCAATCGGGCCCCTTGTCCTGCCTTCCCTCACTCGATCCTCAACGGTCATCTTGCCAGGGCTGGCGTCATTTATCCCGGGGAGACGACGAAGATTGACTGTGAGGTCGGCACTCAGCTGGGGCAGGGAGGGGAGACGAGTTTGACAGTCTCCTGCCTCTCCAACTGCTCTTGGGACCTTCAAAGGGACGTGACCTGCTACAGGAAGATGTGCCCTGCTCTTGTCCTGCCTGCCAACAGCCAGATCGAGAGGGCAGTGTCCTACACATCCAGCGCGATTGAATATGTGAGAAGAGGGAGAGTAGAGGAGGCACTGCTCCTTTCGTTTGAGAGGATGATCGGAGTGGATCTCTTTAGAGGGTGTGATGTTGCTAGGATGTTTCGTTGAGTTTTCCCTTGCTGATGCAGGATGCGGTGACGAAAGAACTGAAGATGTACCACAACGATTCAATCATCGTGAAGTGCAACGTACGTTTGACTAGTTCTCCTCCTCCCTGGCTTACCCCCTTGGTCAGAGCGGATATATGGTTGACGCTCGACCGGACGATGCTAGGTAAGGAAGTGCTTGTGATAGAGAATTTGCTGCTGGATAGCAGAGCTGAGAATCGATATCCCATGGTGGAGATGCTGATGGATACGAGGAGACGACTGGCATTTTGCTTTTTGAGCAGTTTGTGAGAAGTCAAAACAGGTTCTGTAAGACAACTTTCAACCTCTCTTGTTTCAACGGCTCTTTCGTCGGGATGTCAAAATGTGTTCCCTACCAGTGCGGGTCAGTGTCGTGTCCTGCTCCTGCTCAATCTCCTGCCCCTTACAAATTAACTCCCTTCCTCCGTCCATCCCTCCTCCCTCAACTTTCCCTCGCTCACTTCCCTTCGTGCTCTTTGTCCTGCTTTCAGGGACAACATGCAGAGATTACATCTGACCTGAAAATCTTTCAGCTGCGGTTTTGGTCTCCCCTGCGAGCGTTTCAATCAAGATACCAACGCTCTTCCTCTGCCCTCCTATGTCGACTCAGGTCTTGCATCTCCTGCCTGGCCCTGCAAAAGAATTCTTTTCTGTTACAATCTGATGTGATTGATGGTTAGATGCTGAACTGACTTGATTTCATGTGGGAGCAGGAAAACTTGTGGAAGTTCGGTGCAAGGATGGATATCGGGCGGCTCAGTCTGGGAGCAAGTATGCAACCTGCAGCGACCCTTCAGGCTACAGCCTGTTGTGTTCGGATTGCTCTTACAACTCAACGTCAATGAGGTACATCTTCATTACATGTTTGTTCATGTCATGCGATCGTGGATATCTTGTACCATTCATCATCTCTTCACGCACATGATTCTACATGATACATGTTTTGTTGTCATCTCCTCCGGAACGATAATCGACTCTTAACCTTGCTGATGGTCCTGACTGGGTCTCCTCACTACAGATGCCTCCCTCTCTCGTGCCCATCATGGTACCAAGTGCTTGCTGACATGCTAAGTAAGTGAGATTGCATGCAGGAACCAAGTCAGCGCGAGCAGGAACTCTAGCTCTGACAGTGCTGGAGTTGTTCCTGTTGACTCGACTATCCTTGTTGTCTGCGATGAGGGATTCCGAGCAATGGGGTGAGAAAATCAATTTTGAAATAAGGCCGTGATGTGATTCTTGACATATCTCTTTCAACTGCCTGCCGCCTGCCTGTTTTGTTTGTTTGTTTCACTGATTGATTGTTTCTTAATCTCCTCCATGCTGTATTTTGCTTGAATTTGCCTGTTATGGATTCTTGCTCCAACCTTCTCAAAACTTTGGTCTGAAACCTTGTTCTTGTTCTTCTGACTCGTTCACCTTGCAGCTCTCAGTCTCGTCAGACGACGGTCAAGTGCACGTCTACTTGTCAGTTCAACGTGACTCAGGCTTGTCTTCCTATCTTCTGCAACTCGTCGACGATAAAAGACGGGAAAGCTGTGAGTCAAACAAGAGAATCATACCTGAATTTCTTACATGCAAGTTTGTAGATCCCAACCAATAACAGCTCCCTTGTTCAACACAACACGGAGGTCGGACAAGTGCAGGATGACAGGAGAATTCTAACGGATCTTCTTCCGTTTCCAGGTGTTTGTTTCTTGCAACCAAGGGTATCACGTGCCTGGCCCTTCAAGTTGCAACACGAATTACACAGCCTTGTGCTACGATGGGATGTTTGTTTCCAGCAAGGTGAGGACGGGAATTCTCACCTCAACGGACGATGCTGACTTCAGCGATAAACCTGCTCTGCAGACCTGCGTTGCTATCACAACCTCGGATTGTGGCTGCGGCATCGGAGCATGCAGGCAGTATCAGCTCAGGACGGGAGGTACGACGAGTTTCTTATAATCTCGCACATGATTTGTGGAATGGACTTGACTGTAACGTTGAGATGATCTTCACATTGTGATTTGCGTTTGAGATCACTTGTGAGTCATCATGTGTTAGTTGTTGTCTCAGAGCATTCTTGAGGTTGTTTTGCGATGTTCTCATTGATCGCTTCAGAGCTGAATGTCTCTCCCAACATCTCCATCAGCCATGGCTCCCTCGCCCGCGTCGAGTGCGCGCCAGGTGCTCTTCCTCTCCCTTCACCTCCTGCTGCTCTAACTTCACCTCCTGCTCCTGCTCCTCTGCCTTTACCTCCTGCTCCTTCTGATCCTCCTCTTTCTCCTGCTCTCCTCACACTCTATCCAGGGTTCAGAGCGTCTCCTGTCTCCAGTTCAACTCCGCCGACCTGTCAAGCATCCCGTGAGTTCAACTTCACGTGCAACGACTGCAAACTTGAGACGGACATGGCGTGCTCGCCTGCTGTCTGCCGCTTCTACAATGGGAGTGATCAGGTGCCATATCCTCCTTCCTTCCCTACCTCCTCCTCTGTCTGATTTTCCCTCCTCTCTTCCCCGTAGTTGTTCCAACTCCTCCTGCTCCCTCCCTCTTTGTCTTCCCCTCTCCTCTCTATGCTCGTGAACTCCTCCTCCTCCCTCTCTCCCTCTCTCCTTCTCTCATCTCTACATTTGTGAATTTCTCCTCCTCCCCTTCTTCCTCTTCTTCATCCTCCTCGTCCTCCTCCTCTTCTTCCTCTTCTTCCCCATCCCCGTCTCCCTTTCTCCATCCTTCCTCTCATCTTTTCGCAAAAGTTTCCCAGCTCTGCCCCGATCGCGCAGGCTGTCACCTTATCCTGCCCCTTCGGTTTCCGCGCCTTCTCCTCTGACAGAGGTACAGAGGAAGCAGCCCGATCAATTTCTCATCATCCCTTACCTGCTTCCTCCTCCTCAGGCTCCTCCTCCTCCTACACCGCCACCTGCAGTGACACCTGCTCCTTCCTACCCTCGTCAACGGACGTCTGCAGGCCCATACGATGCCCTCCACTCTTCCTTGGGAATCTTTTTGCCTCCTCTAATCAGTCGCAGCTCGCTGCCCTCTACCACGGGGACTCGCTCAACGTCTCTTGTCTCCCCGGCTATCAGATCCAGGGCTCCCGCTGCCAGACCTGGAGGACGGTGACGTGTCAGGACGGACAGCTCCCGTCGGTAGCGTGTGAGGCTATCGCATGCAATTGCAGCGCCTCCACCTGTAGAGGCCCCGAGGATGAGGGAGCGTTGACAGTCAATCTCTCCTCCCCTCTCCTCAACAGAGGACGGACCAACGTCACCTGCAAGGAAGGCTTCCGAGCTGCTGCTTCCAACGCCTCCTCCTCCTCCTGCTCCCTTCCCCGCTGGTACCCTGTGGAGTGCGTCGACTGCTCGCTGCAGACGGCTGCCAGCTGCAAGAGGGTGAGCTGCGGGCCAGTTAGGATGGTTGGAGCAGAGGCAAGGGTTCTGGCTGACCCAGTCAGTGGTGAGGTCCTCTACAACGAGAGCGTTACATACTCCTGTCCTCTTGGGCACAGGCTGTACGACAGGAACGCCGACTCGTCCTCCTCCATCACGTTCCACTGTGAGGCAGACTGCAGCTACACCAACTCCTCCTCCTCGCTCTCCTCCTCCTCGTCTTCGCTCTCCTCTTCCTCCTCCTCCATCTGCTACAGGGTCAGCTGCGAGGAGCTGACCGCTCTCCCCAACGCCAGCGTGAAGGCGACAGGAGGAGGGAACCTGACCGGCCTGCTCTTCGGTGACGAAGTGGAGGTCACGTGTGACGGTCAGCTCGTTAGCCTCCAGCACCTCCAGCAGGGCCGCTGCGTCCGTCAGTGGAACGTCTCCTGCAACGACCAGGGTAAGTTCGACAGGAGCGGCTGCTCCCTCCCAACCTGCGAGTGCGGGGGAACAGCCTGCGGCCTGCTGTCCCTGCCGTCTCTGCACGTGAACCTCTCTAGCCTCCCCGCTCCTCTCCTCCCCAGCGGCGGCAGCGTGTACGCCCGCTGCCCACAAGGGTACCGAGCAACGAGTCCCAACAACTCCAGCAGCTCCTGCTCCGACGATGCCCAGGTGCTACTGGGGTGTCGGAACTGCTCCGTGGCTGCGGACAAGATCTGCGCTCCCGTCCTCTGCTCTCTCAGCTTTCAGGACGACAACTTGATATGGATCAACTCCTCCTCCTCCTCCTCCTCCTCTGCCTCCGCAGTCTTCCAACAGGTCATCGCCTTCACCTGCAGACCTGGCTTCCGCCCAGCCAGCTCTTCGTGCTCCTCTCAACGCTGCCCCGCTCGATCGCCGAACTCATCCTTTCTCACATGCCAGCAAGACTGCCAGTTCGCTCCCCCGTCCCCTCGCTGCCTTCCAGTCACCTGCAACGTCTCGGATCTGGCAGTACCCCGAGGGAGCATCTCGGACGGGAGGCAGGTGTATCGATCGGGAGAGAACCTGACTGTTGTCTGCGATGCTGGGTACATGTCGGAGGAGAACTCCAGGATCAACAGTAAGTGCGACAAGAGCTTCACCGCCGTCTGCAACCTCGATGGTACTTGGAGCGCTGCTTCAAGGTGTTCCGCGATCAGATGCAACGTCAGTTACTACAGGGCAAGCAAGTTGGTCGAACTAGGAGGGAAGTTGGACTGTGGGAAGGGATACATATCTGACGTGGAGGACGCGTTGGTCTGCAAGGACGATTGTTCGATCAACAGCACGTTGCCCTGCCGGCCGAGAGAATGTCCAGTTGTTGAGGTCACAAACGCGTCTGTGGTGGGAAGAAACGGATCTCTGAATGTCTTGTTCGGCGATCTTGTGACGTACAAGTGCAATGATGGGCTTGTTGTGTCAAGACAGTTTGAGATGTTTGCAAAGAACAACTGCAGTGATGAATTCACTGTCATGTGTCAGGTACAACAACCTTTGCTCTGCTCTGCTCTGCTCTGCTCTCTCCTTCCCTCCTCTCTCCTTCTGCTCCGCTCCCCTCCTCTCTTCCTTTGAGCCAACGCGGGCATGACCCCATCACTCCAGGACAATGGCACCCTCCAACTTGTCTCCTCCTTCACTTCAGTCTGCCTGCCACCGTCCTGCCCACCCTACTTCACTCTGGACAGTCTCGTTGAGATCAGCAACAGCACCACAAGCTCTGCTGCCTTCGGTTCAACGATGAACTTGACATGTCGGCAAGGGAGCAGGTTTGACTCGAGCCCAACCGTCGCATCGGCTGCTGTCACGTGCGGAGGAGAAGGAGAGGGCAGATGCTCGTGGAGCAAGGCCCCAAGATGCGTTCCCATCACCTGCAGATACTCTCCTCCTGCAAACTCCCTTCTTCTGGACGTGAGTTGCCTCTTGTCCCCGTCCTCGCCCTCGCTCTCGTCTCTTGTCTCTTTTCACTCGTCCTCGTCCTAATCTACTTCCTCCTTTTTGTGACCGTCCTCCTCCCATCTCCTCCCTCCTTCTCCTCCTTCTCCTCCTTCTCCTCCTTCTCATCCTTCTCCTCCTTCCTCCCTCCCCCTCGAGCTCCTGCTGCTGCTGCTGCTCCTCCTCCTCCTCCTCCTTCTCTTTCTCCTGACCTCCCCCACAGGTGAACGCAACGTTGAGGGAGCACCCCATAGGATCGAGGGTGGCGGGAAAATGCATTGACGGGTATCAGACGACGGCAAGCAGCAACTGCAGCAGCGACTTCGAGAACGTTTGTCAGCAGACGGGAGAGTTCTCAAGTACCCAATGCCTTCCAGCTTTTTGCCCTCCATACTCCCAGCAGCTCAGGACGTTTCTCAGCTCCTTCAACGAGGCAGCGCTGGGGCCGTTCGTCCTCCCTCCCTCTCCTCTTCTCAACTCGAGTTACAACACCTCCCTGCTCCTTTCTTGTCCCCTTGAAGCGCTTCCTCTCAACGTCGCGACCGGGCAGTTCCTCCCGTCTCCGTTCCCCGTCTCGTGCTCGCCCGCGTGCAGCTGGGACAGGATCGTCGTTTGTAAGCTCATCTCCTGCTCTCTTGACAACCTGCCGCTGCTGCAGGCCGCCGGTGAGATCAGGATAAGACATGGCAGGCGCAAGGGAGCCCTGACTTTCCCTCCCTCCTCGCAGGTTTCAACGTCGAGCAAGGAGAGGTAGTCGACGGCAGAGTGTCAGTCCGCTACAACCACTTCCTCAACCTGTCCTGTGGGGAGGGGGAGGAGGTGGTTGAGAGCGCAGGCAACTTCATCGTCCCTGACCTTCCCGGTCTTGGTTACATCAATGTCTACGTGCGGCAGACGTTCTCAGGTTGCGATGTTCCCCTTGCCAGCCTTCTTCTCTCCTCCTCCCCCTTCCTAACTCGTCTACCCTCCTCTTCCCCTCCTTGATAGGCTCCCCTCCTCCCTTCCTCTCTTCTTTTCCTTGATCGCCACTTGCTCGTCTACCTCGCTCTCCTCCTCCTCTTGACCTCGTCTCGTCAATTGCTTCCAGTCTTCCTCTGGTCCCTTGTCC